TGTAAAAAAACATGTTAATACATGATGATAAATACAGTAAGAAAAAATAATAATAATATAATAATGATAAAAGATAAAATCCATATAATACAACTTAAGACTCTATATACATAATTGCACATTAGATATTAAGGTAAAAACCACGATTATAGGCGCTTAAGCACCCTAGTACTGATAAAAGACATTAAAATGATCCAATGATAGTACTACTGATAGTGAGAGAGTCTAATATTAGGATGCTATGATCCAGTATACAAGGCCATCACTTGCACCTTAAAACCTAAAGCAATCTACTATTTTTGGTTTTTGGTTTTGCTTCTTAATAGGGTGAATGGTAATAGCAGCATATGTGACGGGACCTGTATGGAAGATGTATACATTTAGGTGTAACCATATAGAATAAATATACATACAAACAAATATATAAAGATATGATAGACTTCATATCTATACATTTAAAAGATTCCATGAACCGTGGGCTTGCAGTATGTTAACAGTCTTAGGGAGTCACTAGTTAGCACCAAACTACTGAAGGGACCATATGTATACTTGTAGTATTGGTACAGTAGGATGAGAGATTATTATTGTCAGGGGTTAGTAATAGGTAACCACATTCCTTACACTCAACACATTCCTGATGGCAGCAGTATATGTATTACTAGATATGATTGATATAATAAATCGCAAAAATGAAAATAGTGTGGAAAAAAGTAGAGATAAACTAATTGTGTTTTGCACTACCTAGTGGCTAGATGAGAGTATGAATCTCGAGGGTCATCGTTTTTAAACCTCTAGGAGACAGGGTACCCAATGTGTAAAGATCCAAAAACTTTCTCTTCTGCAGAGCTCTTGGTATCTCCTCCCACTATCTAGTCCTTTGTAATAGCCTCAATTCCGAAGACTTTCAATCCATCGTAATTACTCTGATGTTTTTCTTTAAAATGGCGGGGGACTGAGTATTTATCTTTTACCAATTTTATGTTGCTTTTATGCTCGCTGATACGTGTCCTTAGGCACTCCGCGAGGTCCGGAGGTCCGGCCTACATATAGTAGGCCACAAGGGCAGATTAGGCCATAGATGACAAAAGACGTCCCACAGTTTATAAACTGTTTGATGGATATCTTTTGCCGTCTGTGCTCAGGAAATCTTTTTTTCGATGCCATATGACTCCACATGTACCACAGTTGGGAACACTGCATCTGTAGCTACCCTTTTGGTCAAATAGCACTGGACCACGGACTTGGGTTAGATGTCGGCTGGTAATTACTTTTGCGTACTCTACTTGGCGCTATTATGCTCCTGAGGTCTCTAGGTTTCCTGAAGATTAGTGTAGGTTGATCAGGGAGTGCCTTTCCTAGAGTTGGATCGTTTTTTAAAATGTTCCAATTTTTGGACATTTTTTGTTTGTTGGTCCACGCATGCGCAGTCACGAGCATTCCATACTAGCGTGCGTTCCACACACTGGGGTAAACCTGCAGCTAATGAGGGAAGCATAAGATCTCCCTCTGCTGCTGACTATACATTATTAGGGTATCCAAGAGTACTGATCTAATCCTCTCCATCATCCGATCATGAAGCACATGCAGCTGCCTGGTAGCACACAACACACAGCTTCTGGCTGAAGGTTTGTGTGTGGTTTATATGTCTACATATATATACATGTGTTTGTGTCACTATGGACACCTAACCATTAAGACATCCATTGACTAACAATTTATGTCTATTGTTACAATAATTTCTATGTACTCATCCAGCTTCATGACAAGTCTCTGGAATGAATTGTTCATTTGATACATCGCTCACTAATGAATCATGGAATAAGACTAACTATTTACAATATATTATGTTTCATCATGTATTATCTATTATCATCATTTCAATGGTGTGTCATCGCTAAGTTTGATATATTATATGCACACTAAGTGGTATATGCAAAATGTGTTTTTTTATATTATTTTATATATTTATATTTTTATGTTTGTCTATATCATTTCTCTCTGATGGCATTACCAAATAGTGATTGTCTGTTGACGATATCTTGGCCCCTCCTACTAACCTGAGACTGCCCAACCCAGTGGGGAGGGCCTAGGTTCAGTCCAGGAGTATATACAGTTGTGTCCAAAATTATTCAACCCCCAATGCTGTAAAAAGGGGTTTAGGGGACTATAGTTGTACATTTGGAATTGTATTCAGTAATCAAATCCTACAAGGACGTTGTAATACACTACCCAAATGCAACTAAAATGACATCAATTGTTTATGTAATTACAGTAGTAAATGGTTCTTATGTGGTTTCTTCATTGCCACAATTATTTCAACCCCTTAAAGACTAAACCACATCTGAGAACAGAGGTTCATACAGGTGCTTTCCATCAGGTATTGAAAACACCTGTGGATGTCACCGAGCAGCAATCAAGGGGCATAATAAGCACCAATTAGGCAGCTTTAAAATGACTGTGATACTCAGCTCCTTCTAGACATTTACTGGTGTGGTTACAAACATGGTGAAGGCAAGAGAATGGTCCAGGAAGACAAGAGAAGAGGTGATTTCTCTTCACAGGAAGGGCAATGGCTATAAGAAGAATTGCAAAGATGTTAAACATACCAAGAGACACCTTAGGAAGCATCATTCGCAAATTCAAGGCAAAGGGCACTGTTTGAACGCTACCTGGTCGTGGCAGAAAGAAGATGCTGACTTCGACTGCTGTGCGCTACCTGAAGCGTAGAGTGGAGAGTGGAGAGAAGTCCCGTGTGACTGCTGAGGAACTGAGAAAAGATTTGTCAGATGTGGGTACAGAAGTTTCAGCCCCAGACAATAAGACGCACACTGCGTAATGAAGGCCTCCGTGGCCAGAACTCCCAGGCGTACCCCCTTGCTGTCTCCATAGAATAAGAAGAGTCGACTGCAGTATGCCAAAAGCCATGTGGACAAACCACAAAAGTTGTGGGATAGTGTTCTGTGGACTGATGAAACAAAATTAGAACTGTTTGGGCCCATGGATCAACGCTATGTTTGGAGGAGGAAGAACAAGGCCTATATGATGAAAAGAACACCTTGCCTACTGTGAAGCATGGTGGAGGGTCAATCATGCTTTGGGGCTGTTTTGCTTCTGCAGGTACAGGGAAGCTTCAGCGTGTGCAAGGTACCATGAATTCTCTTCAGTACCAGGAGATATTGGATGGAACGTGATGCAGTCCGTCACACACCTGAGGCTTGGGAGATGACGTTGGACCTTTTCAACAGGACAATGATCCCAAGCATACCTCCAAGTCCACTAGAGCATGGTTGCAGAGGAAAGGCTGGAACATTTTTGGAGTGGCCATCGCAGTCACCAGACTTAAATCCGATTGAGAACCTCTGGTGGGACTTAAAGAAAGCAGTTTTGCAGTGCGCAAGCCTAAGAATGTGACTGAACTGGAGGCCTTTGCCCATGAAAAGAAATGGGCGAAGATACCCGTAAGATCGCTGCAAGACACTTGTGTCAAGCTATGCTTCACGTTTAAAAGCTGTTATGTAATAACTGTAAAAGGATGCTGTACTAAGTTACTAAGATTGAAATGTCACTTGGGGGTTGAATAAAACTGATAATGCTGTGAGCACAGAAAAAGACATTTGTGGTTATTTCATTATAAACTGTTATGTTTATATTTGTCTGACCTACAAGTGCCTCTTTAATGTAAATGTAAGCAAGATGACTGAATGATCAAAAGCAATGTCAAACTGGCCAAAACACTCAATTTCAGTGGGGGTTGAATAATTTTGGACACAACTGTATAGGAGAGAGCACTCACAGTTCAGTTAGCTCTGAGGAAGAAGGGACCCCCTTCGAAATGCGTCAGCTGTATACTGAACACCCAACTCCCCTGATGGGACTCATGTTATCTTCAAGTCCCTGTGAGGACTTACATGCCTGATTTTATTCGCTGTTTGTGAGTATATTTTTTACAATTAATTTTTTGGTTACTGAGGTAATGCGGCAAGGTTGGTTGCGCTTCTCGTTTTTATTTCATTCTGCAGTGTTGATTGGGCTTCCCCCAGCCTCTGTTAGTGTTTTGGAGCCGCACAGCCCTTTATGCATGCGATGGTGGACGATCCCTCCAGGCCTGGCTCCATCTGTTTCGCCACCCTGTCTGAGGTCCCAGAGCGCAGGCGAATTCGTTTTTTTTTTTTTTTTTTTTACAAGGCTATTCACAACAGCCCTTGTACCAAGTGACAAGCTGTGGCCAATCACAGCTCACTCAGTATTTCTCAATAGCTGCAAGAATGCAGCCAGAAGAGAAGGAGAAATGATTGCTTTTTACAGCCTTTATGGGTACTATATGTGGAGACCACCAAACTTGTGCTGTTCCTGGAAGATGTGTAAAGATAATTTAACCCAACCCTACTTATAGCAGAAATTAATTGATGTAAAAAAGCCTTTGAAAAAAATTCAGTTCCTATGGCAAAGTCCCAGGAATGGTAGGCCTACCACAGGGCCTGATCAAAGTAATAAAAGGGATATAGTACAGAATTTCTAATCATGCTGGCTTAGTAAGGATTTTTCCATCAAATCAGGGATGAGACAAGATTGTCCATTGTCCCCTTTAGTCTTTATAAGTTTAATGGAACCCTTACAATGACATATGCAAAGAGACTAAATCATTAAGGGAATTGTCATTCATGGAAGTAATGGACAACAAATGAAATGCTCACCTTTACTGGAAAAAAATAAATGTACATATTTTTGCAGAAAAAAAATGTACATCCAGGCTTCTAACATGTTGGAAAAAGTCTTGCTTGTGAGGAATCCAAAATGACCTCCTAATATTCCTCACCAAAGCCAAATAAAAACAAAAAGTATTATATGTTCACAGTTGTAAATTACGACAAAGAATGTAGAAGTTCATTTCCCATGAACCAAAAATTTAAGTGAACCTAATGTATGAAAATGATCTGTTGAATGTGTTGTTAGCAAAATATGCTGGTGCCATAAATGTCTTTCCTGTCATTGTGTTACAGGGAACAACTATAATTCCTCTCCTAGCTTCTGCACTATCAGACCCAGAATGCTGGAAGTCACCTTATGACTTTAGTCCAGAACATTTCTTGGATGAGAACGGGAAGTTTTGTCGAAAAGAAGCTCTGATCCCTTTCTCTGCAGGTAAGAAAGAGAAACAATCATACTAGTTTATTCTGCCATGTAACATGCTCATACTGCTATCTGCTGCTCTCTGGTTGTTCCAGGAAAGAGGATCTGCCCTGGGGAAGGTCTGGCTCGGATGGAGATCTTTCTCTTCCTTACTGCCCTGCTCCAGAAATTCTCCTTCAACCCTACAAATCCAACTGACACATTCAATCTGGATGTGCTACGACAAACCATCCGAAAAGGGGGGCTCTCCTACAATTTAAGAGCCAGTCCTAAAATGGAAAAAATGAATGGACACACAAGCGCAAAACTTGAGGACACACCCTAGTAAAAGGGAACATTATCTTTTCCAGAACTTCTAATGGTCACTTGATTCTGTAGACATCTTAAGTGATTTTACTTGGAAGACAGACTCCTATTCTCTCAGCTTACAGTTCTTTCTCTAGAAGTCTTAATGCTGATAATTGCATGAACTTATTACGTACTTTACTTTGTCCAAGCCTGACACTACAGCTTGAGTGTTAGCAGTGAAAAGGTCATACTGACGTCTTATTTACTAGCACATTTTTCCCCTTAAAACTCCAAATCATGGCTGTCTTCCTCTAAGTTTGCAGATATACCAGGTTGGCTGTTGGTAGAGGTATGAAACCTCTCAGGTTTGCTATATTCCATAAATTCTGCAGGCCATACCTGCCACTCAGACAGTTGCTCTCTGTGTGGAGAAGTTATAAATGTATTTGTTATTCCTTTCTACCCACCACTTCCTTTTCTTTTGCCTGGTTCTTCTTCACTTCTACCCACTCCTACCTTTCCTACTGCTCTACATCTTAGCTGTTTTTTCCTCCCAACTCTATTCTCACTACCCCTTTCCTTCCTGTCCTCCTTCTTCCCTCCCTTTTATTTTTTCTTTCTTTCCTCCCCCAACTCCCCACGTCTCGGCAGGGGTTGACAGCTAAAACTTCCACCCGCAAAGATGTCTTTGAAACTCCTGTCCTGGAATGTCAACTCCCCTGGGAAAAGGTCCAGTCACCTTCTGGACTTATGCTGACAGTGCCCTCAAATCATGTTCCTGCAGTAAACTAATTTCAGATCTAATAAAATTCCAAAACTGCATAATAAACCTTTCCTGACTGTCTATTATAGTGTGTGTCTCTCTTGTCCAAATCAAAAGGAAATAACATTCTTTTGTCCAAATCCCTCCCATGGCAATATCTGGACCCTCTGTGCTTGCCACAAGAGTAGATATACAAAATCAAGATCCAATCTCAAATGTTCAGTATGGCAAACATGTATTTACCAAATGTGAACAAACTCTCAGTGTTTTGTGAACTCCCAATTTCCTGGAATTGTTTCTGACTTCTTTGGAATCCTTCACTGAGGGTACATTTGTTCAAGGTGGGGATTTTTAACCTCACAATTGACCCCCATAAAGACTCATTCATGAGTGCCTCTGCTCTTATTCAGAGGTCTCAGAGGTTATGGAACTCCTGCATTCCTACCAATTGGTTGACATCTGTTGCATTCTCTACCCGCAGGAAAGGGATTAAACTCCTAAACCCATGGCTCCTATTCTAGGATTGATTTTTTTCCTCATTACCCATTCTAAAATTCCAGTGGTTATGAGTGCCAACATAGGCCATATAGTTTTATGAGCTCATGCCATCTTTGGAGATAACCTTGACACAGATTTAAGAGAGATCTCTTTACAGAAATGAGACTCTTGTATAAAAATCACTTCAGCTTTAAAAGCTTTGAACTCTTTCAGAGCCATTTATCCATCATTTTCTGATAGAATTCAATCTTTTTCATAATATTAGTTTTAAAGACATTGCAATACAAAATTACATTGCACTGATGAAAGTAAGATTGTTCTTTTTGGGTCTAGTGGCAAGAGACAGTTTGTCAGACGACCCCCAAATACTGAATTCAAGCCACAGTACACTGTGAAGACAGTGAAGCATGGTGGTGCAAGCATCATGACATGGGGATGTTTCTCATACTACGGTGTTGGGCCTATTTATCGCATACCAGGGATCATGGATCAGTTTGCATACATCAGAATACTTGAAGAGGTCATGCTGCCTTATGCTGAAGAGGAAATGCCCTTGAAATGGGTGTTCCAACAAGACAACGACCCCAAACACACCAGTAAACGTGCAACATCTTGGTACCAGACCAACAAGATTGACGTTATGGAGTGGCCAGCCCAATCCCCGGATCTTAATCCAATAGAAAACTTGTGGGGTGACATCAAAAATGCAGTTTCTGAGGCAAAACCAAGAAATTGAGAAGACACTGTGGAATGTAGTCCAATCATCCTGGGCTGGAATACCTGATCACAGGTGCCAGAAGTTGGGTGACTCCATGCAACACAGACGTACAGCAGTTCTCAGAAACAGTGCGACTACAACCAAATATTCATTAAGTGATTCAAAGGAAAACAAAATCTTCAAACATTTTTCAGTTTATATAGTGAATGTTTGAGTTTGTAAAGAAGAATACAAACACTGCTATTATTTTGAACCATCTAATATTCACTTTTCTTCAATTTTTTTTTAGAGGAACAACACAGATTTGATCTATTTTTCTTCATGTTTTGATTTGGAATAGAATGTGTCGTGTTCCCAATGCATTTTGTGTGGATGGAAATAAAAGCTATTAGAAGGATTTTGAGCTTTTTTCACTTTTTTCAACACACTGCTATTATTTTGAACACAACTGTATATACCATGATCCTTCTCTTCAACACATTGCTGTCCCATAGTGGTTGATGTAGTTAGTCTTTACTTAGGAAACTTTATGCCAGCACCTGGCTACACCCCCCCCCCCTTAAATCTCCTTGTTCCCCATTGATAAATAGAATTCTATGATAATTATTTATTATGGAAAAATGTGCAAGGTAACATGGCAGTTATTTACAAGAGTTAATGATACACAAAGGTACATATAATCCTCATATTCCTTCATCATTGATAGACGATCTCCCACATTGTTTGTGACAAGAGGTGGGATACATCTGTTGATGGGCCACTAGCCCAGCAGGGTATGTTAGTGGGTGGGCAGCAGGACCTTGGCTACAGTTTGGCAAATTGTAACCTCTTCAGCATGTCTTTTTTTCAACAGTGGGACTTTGCAGGGGCTTCTTGCAGATAGCTTGGCTTCACATAGGCGTCTTCTAATTGTAACAGTCCTCACAGGGAACTTTACACCTTCTTTCATCTTCCTGGAGCTGATTGTTGGCTGAGTCCACGCCATTTTGGCTATTCCTCTATCCATTCGAATGGTAGTTTTTCACTTTCTTCCACGTCTTTCAGGTTTTGGTTGCCATTTTAAAGCATTTGCGATCATTTTAGCTGAGCAGCCTATCATTTTCTGCACTTCTTTATATTTTTTCCCCTCTCCAATCAACTTTTTAAACAAGGTACGCTGTTCTTCTGAACAATGTCTGGAACGACCCATTTTTCCCAGAATTTCAGAGAGAAATGCACTGTAACCAGTATGTACAACATTTGCTGCCTTCCTTCCTTAAATAAGGGCAATAATTGCCACCTGTTTGTCAAAGAATGAATGACCTCACTAATAGAACTCCACACGGCTAATATTTTGAACATGCCCCTTTCAATTAGTGATTCAATTACACAGAATCAGCAGCATGCGTGTCATGACTGTTGGGTCTGTTGGATTTCTATTACTCTACTACACCTGCTAGTAAATTATTTGCCATGTAGAAATATCATTTCTACCAAAAACAGTGATTGATCAGGTTAGTGATGTCTGACTGCTATTATTTTGAACACAACTGTGTATGTGTATATATATATATATATATATATATATACAGGCACTTGGCACCAGACTGAGATAAGAGACAGGAGGGGAGACAGAGTGTGGAGACTGAAGCACCTGTATACCCAAAACACAGGGCGACTTCATCCCCTGCTTCCTGCCACATCAGAGGCATAGAGCGGAGCCATCAGTCCACCTTCAGCCATTCCAGCTACACAGATCGGAACCTCCTGCTCATCTCTTTATGAACTACAGACACAGATCCAGGTGTGGGTAAGCCCTGGGTGTGCAGAAGAACCAAGAGTGATAGCCAGTATCAAAAGCCACAGAGAGGTCAAGTAGTAAGAGTATGGAGTAGTGGCCATTGGTTTTAGCTGTTAGTAGATCATTAGTGACTTTTAGTAGGGCAGTATCAGTGGAGTGGAGTGAGCGAAAGCCAGACTGTAAAGGGTCATGAACGTTGTTGTCAGTGAGGTAGGAGCTCAGGCGATTGTAGACTAAGCGTTTTAAGAGTTTAGAGGTAAACCAGAGCAGGGAGATGGGTCTTAGGTTGTTCAGGTTGGTGGGGTCCAGGGAGAGCTTTTTAAGTATTGGAGTGATGTGTGCATGCTTTAGACAGATGGGGAAGGCACCGTTAGAGAGGGAGAGATTGAAATATGTGAGTGAGGGAGCATAGAACAGAAGAAGAGGGTGACCGTAGTAGTTGAAAGGGGACAGGATCCAGGGGGCAGGTAGTGAGATGGGCTTCTGAGAAAACCTTAGTGACCTCTTCAGTAGTAGCAAGTTCAAAAGAGGAAAGTGTTGAGGGAGGTTTAGTATAGGGTATGCTAAGAGGGATGGATGTCTGTGCAGTAGAGATGCCCCTACGACTTGCATCAATCTTGTGTTTTTGAAATGATTTGCAATCTCGTAAGCAGTGAATGAGGTACTGGGTGGAGGTGGAGAAAGTAAAGAGTTAAAAGTAGAGAAGAGACGACGAGGACTGGTTGACAAGCTATTAATAAGAGTGACAAAGTAGGCTTGTTTGACAGCATGGAGGGAGGAATTGTATGCTAAGAAAGCAAATTTATATAGGGTGAATGCTATTGGTGAGATTTGGTTTTACGCCACAATCACTCCAGTGCACAGCTATGTCTCTTAAGATTTTTGGTGTTGTCAGTCTGCCACAGTTGTAATGGTCGGGGCCTGATACTTCATGTAGTTAGAGGAGCAAGTGAGTCTAGTGTGGATGAAAGCGAACTGTTGTAGACAGCAGTGGCCAGGTCAGGGGAAAGATTCTGTTATAAAGGCAGTCAGTTGCAGAGTAGAAAAGAGACGGGTTCAAGTTGTGAAGGCTTCTGCAGGTAATTGTTTGCTGCTTGGAGGGATAGATGTTTGAAGATGAGGACACTGTGAAGGTGATGAGATTGTGATCACAGAGAGTGTTTGTGAGGTTGTAGGGAGTGCAAAGATGGGAGAAAACAAGGTCTAATGTATTCTCATCAGAGTGAGTGGAGGACTGTGTCCATTGTGTTAAGGCAAAAGATGAGGTTAGGTTACCAT